GGGGGGGGGGGGGGGGGGGGGGGGGGGGGGGGGGGGGGGGGGGGGGGGGGGGGGGGGGGGGGGGGGGGGGGGGGGGGGGGGGACTCTGCCCCTCGCAAAAAAAAATGCGCCTCTGTTCAGCTTGGTTGGGAGGGGGTTGGGAGCACCGCAGATTTCTGATGTCATGGGGGTATCGCACCATCATATTTCTCATTGGGGCGTTTCTTTCGTTGTGGCCGAGATTGAGCTATGTTTCTCACCCTTTGTTCATATTTTTTGTACAAAGTTGAGCCTTTTTTTCTCAACAAAATTTTTCTTACCTGCGGGCGCTGTATTTGTACGCGAAGGGAAGGGGTGGCGAGTACCGTGAGACGCAGTACCTTCTTTCGAAGACCGTTCATTCGTTTACTCATGAAACTCAACAGAGCCGTAGAGCCAAGCCGCGGGGGGAGGTTCAGGGAACTCTTCGCAATATATATGTGGAAGGAAAAGCCATCCAGGTAGCTTTTGGTCTCCGCCGGGACAGTGATACATACTGGTGTTCCTCGGTGCGACGCTGAAATACGCTCGTCTACTTGGACTTTCCTCCTCCTTCCGCTGCCGGCCATGCAGTACATTAGTTGGCCAAGTAAAGACTGGTGTGCTGTAGTGGTTGTTTTCAACACGTCCCCGACTGCTGTCAATCTCATTTTAAGTATTGCAAGTATGTTCGACGTCAACAAACGGTTGTCAGTCGTCTCGGCGACACGCACTTTTCGTACCACCCCTTTCCTTAGCAAAAGATGCATAGTATGAGGTATAGCATACGTCCATTGGCCCCGAGGATGGTGAGCTATCGTCCCCTGAGTTTTAAGGAGGCAACCCCGCTGTAAGGACGCTGTTCTCGGGAAAAACCATATGCGTCCTTCAAGCGGGGTCGACTGCACAGCAAACAGCACCGCGCTCTGCCGCATGTTACAGACACATCCAAGCACTTCTGTAGAAGGGGGATCAGGAATTCGTACGCAGTCTTCTCCAGTTGGGAAAGCAAACAGGGCAGTTTACCCCCGTTTCCCATCTCTGCAAGCGTAGCTGAAGGGTGCCATGAACGCGGTGATGTTGTATTTACTGGTTTTTGATGCTCCCGGCGGCACATCACACAGCAGGGCAACACAGCAGCAGATGTACACTCCATGGACACAGCATTGTGTTCGCGAGAGGGCGACCCGCAACACGCAGGATCCATGGACTTGCAAGACCCATCTATAGCAGACAAACATCCCTAGATGTCAGCATCCGACTTGGACTGCCATGTCGCGGTGGGGTCCACATAGGTCTGGCGCCACTGCTGCTGATGAGCTGCCAAGCGCTTTTTTTTTGGATAGGATTTGCTTTGAGGGGAAAACACAGGGCCGAGGTTTCAGCAAACCGTCTTTTCTACCACAAAAGGGCAGCGAAGCCGTCTGTCTTGTAAGATAAAACGCTGGGGTAGCGGTAGTAACGGACCGTGACGCCCCCGGCTATAAGCAACCCTTCTATCTCAATTGCTGGTCCTCCAAAGCCAACCACTCACACCGCACAGCGGCCCATCCCCACCGCGCGTCTCCTAAGAAATATCAATCTCTCACCATCTGCCTCCGCGCGAGCAGGGCATTCCTGATGAACTTCCGCGTCCGTACGGTGACGTTGGAAGACATGGTGCAGCTGTGGCTCTGCCGCTCGATGCAAAGCTCGCTGAATGGCCTGGCCGTCCTTCTCTCTCTCGTCCTGAGCCTACTTTCCCCCCTCCCCCCCATATACCATATTGTAATTTTGAGGGGGGGGGCTCGAACCAAATACAAAAGAATACAGCCAAGCATCGTGTACAAACCCGTAATACTTATATTTAGTATCTACGATATAAAACCAAGATAAAATTCATCCTACCCTACAGTGCTAGCTGCAGAGCCACCTTTCAAAATTTAAATTCAGGCCGCCAGCCAGCAGCCAGCGCCAGAGTAAGAGGCAAGAGCGTGTTACATCCCAACCCTCGCGAGAGCAGAAAACTAAGAGAGAGGGAGTATATACTGCGTATCTGCCTTTCTCGCACGAGATCCAAACATGTCGTCCATCCCTCCTCCCGGCGGTGCTGTTGGCGATGCAGCACCAGAAGAAGCGAGCACCGCAACGTCGCCCGCGCGTTCAGACGCCCGCGACGGCGACGACAGCACCGGCACGGCTGCACCTACATCGGCACCTGCTCCCACTTCTCCTGCTTCTCCGCCGTCGCCCGTGCAGGAAGAAGGTAGTGACGAGGGTTGGCATGACAGTTCGCCGGCGGCGCCAAGGAGGATGGGTTCGCCGTCCAGGTCGGCACCTCCTACGCCCATGTCGGACTGCAGCCCCCCGCGAAGCCTCTCCGGCTCCATCCCTAGGACGCCCTCTTCGATGGGGAGCAGGAGCTTGCCCGGCACGCCGCGAACACCTTTCACGCCCATGGACATGCAGGTGTGTGCCAGGAAAACAGGGCGTGCTGTACGCAGCAGGAGCTTGCAAGGAAAGACAACCCTCACGAAATTTTGAAACGATATATCTTCACCGAAACTCTGGTGTTTAGTCTAGATAAAGAGGGCGGAACTGCTTTTGTTGTACAAGTACTTTACTGCTGTCCTACGTTCGTTCGTGACATGATCAGATTGTAAATTCATCCAGTGGGCGGCCCGGTTCTCGGTTTCAAAATGCGAGCTCAACTGCTAAAGTAGCAGCACACCCACATACCTCCAAAATACTACCATGTCTCCGCGAAGCTGGTCCCGACTTGACTGTTTTGCATGTCGCCTATTCTCCATTGGCACAGCATGCACACAACAGCAGAGGTTCTTTATGACACATGATCCCGGAACACCGTTCTCGCCATTAATCGAGCCCCCCTTGCCCCTTTCCCTCGCCGTTTTCCCCATTTCTTTTTCTCTCGAACAACCGCACAACGCGTGTGTCTCCTGTAACACTGTAACAATACCCCGACACACCCGCCAAGTCGCCGCTGTCCCAACGAGACTCCACCGCGCTTCCTCGGGGTGACCTCGGCCGCCGGGCGGCAAACCTCGCCTCGCTCAGCGGCGGCGGTGGCGGCGGTGGCGGCGGTGGCGGCGGCGGCAGCAGCAGCAGCGGAAGCGTCAACACCCCGCAGAAAAGCCCCGCCGCCAACAGATCTTCTAGCAGAATGAGCATGGGCGGCGGCTCTCCGCAGTCGTTGCCCAGCACGCCGGGATCCCAAGCCTCTTCCCGTAGAAGCCGCACCGCGGGCTGGAAGGATAACCGAAGAAGGCGAGGCGGAGGCGGAGGCGGTGGGGGTGGAGGGGGTGATGACAACGATGATGATGACACGGGAGATAGGGGCGGGGGAAGCGGGGGTGGTGGCGGCGGCGGTGGCGGCGGCGGTGGCGGCGGCGGCGGTGGCGGCGGTGGCGATGGCGGTGGTGGCGGTGGTGGCGATGGCGACGGGCCAAGCCCACCGGGATCTCCGGGGCCCAACCAGGGCGGCACGGGTATCATGCAGGGGCAGGAAAGAGCGGTGATCTGGGGCACGGACGTGAACGTTGTCGAGTCGATGGAGAGGTTCAGGCAGTTCTTGCTGGAGTTCACGCTCGAGGGGGAGGACGAGCCGCTGTACAAGTCGCAGCTGGAGGAGATCCACCGAACACAGGCGAGATTGACTTGGACGGAGGAGGGGGTGTATGGGAGGACTGTGGTACTTCCCTCTGCGGCGTTCGATTGTGTCGTGCGTTGCTCCACCAATGCGAAAGTTGTGTCCTCGCTGGGGTGGTCGCCGTCGTAGAGTGTCCGCTGATCGTTCGCGCGAAGCACGCGCTTAGCCGAAGCTCTCCGGTGACTGAGTGGTGACTTTTCTGTTTTTGTCTTGCACTACTCGCTTGTTGTTCCCTCGTTACGTGTGTCTTGACAACTTCATTCTCTCACTTTCGAGTATTCTAGGATGTTTGCAGGCACCTACCACCAGAGATTTGATCTACCGTCCACAACAAGCCGCCGTGATGTCGGTGCGCGAACGAAAGCGTTCCTTGCCGTTCCCTCGGCCCCTTTCCCCCTCATGTCGTCCCATCCTTCCGTGCCACGCAGGAGTTCAGCATCAGCATCAACTGCAAGCATCTCTACAGCTTCGTGCCCTCCCGCAGGCTGTACCAACAACTGGTGCACTACCCGCAGGTAGCCGAGCAGATCTTATCGACCTCTCCTGTTGTTCCGTCGCCGGCTTCCGCTACGCATGTACCAATGTCATGCAGGAGTCGCAACAGGAGTTAGCTATGTTGGCACCCCACCGACGAACGAGCCCAGAGTGTAGTAGGGTCGTGTTGTGGCGTTCAGATTTCATGTTTTTGAGGGGCTTACGAAGCACACGGACTGCTGCCCCGGCTACTACGATTTCGGCTACCTTCGTACCCTCCCAGCACACGACATCGCGCGTGCAGTTTGAAAGCTGGTCGGTACATGAAGAGCATACCGATTGTCACATTCTTCTATTTTTGCGCGTTCGGTCGCATACATACATGGACAAATGCCGACATTGCCGCGAGGTCCCTGCCAACCCTTCCAAGGGGCGGGTGCGCACGAAGCAGCACGTAGTTATGCATCGTTTGCTTGCGCTGATGCACTACCGCCTACTGCCCCCTCTGCCCCCTCTGCTGCGGCGGGTCGGTATGCTGGCGGCCGGGCTTGTTTCAGGAAATAGTCCCCATCATGGACCTCGCCGTGAACGAAGAGTTCACCAGGATGTACTCGGAGGAGGAGCTCATGGGTTCACGCCGCATCCAGGTACGTGTCGAGACGATGAAAGGCAAACATGCGAGGGGAAGGGCTCGTGTGCTCAGGTAACGTCGATCTGAATGACTCTCCTTTGAACTCTAGTTGCTATTGTGCTACCTCTCTGCATATGCACGTAGAGTGGAACTCGAGACACAAAGGCAAGGGGCTTATATTTGTGTCTAGGCAACAATGTTGCTCTTCGGCATGAACGCCCTCAGCTTTGTACTGCAGGGAGTACGCCGCATGCGTATGCAGCAGGCTAGTAATTGGAGACGGAACGGAGGACCTGTGTCGTCCAGACGTACAGGCTGTCTGTCCGTACATCGACTATCGCAGTGGTACCACACACAGAAAATGTTGTACTATCGCAGTAGTACCACACACAGAAAATGTTATTTTTGCTGTCTGATGGATGGCTGCGTTCCGCTTACGAGTATTCGTGTTTGATGCCTGTTGTCTGCGTGCCTTCTCTCGCGCAGCAGCGGAGTCTCTCCATAAATAAACTCGCGGTTGTCTTCATTATTTTTTCGGGATCGGGGGCGGCGAACAACCGTCGTCCGTTTTTTACCTCTCCTACTCCTTGCTACACCAGACCCCACATTAATGCCTTCGTGTTTACCGTTCACGGCATTGCGAACTTGCCTAGATTCCCACACTTTTTTTCGAAAATGGCGACAACGGGGGGGGGGGGG